GTTGACCTGTAGTGTGTCATTACAACTATGACATCAAGTTGACATGTACTGTCATCACAACACCGACATCAAGTTGACCTGTACTGTTTCACTACATCTATTACATCGAGTTGACCTGTACTGTGTCATCACAACTATGACATCAAGTTGACCTGTACTGTGTCACCACAACTATGACATCGAGTTGACCTGTAGTGTGTCATCAAAACTATGACATCAAGTTGACCTGTAGTATGTCATCAAAACTATGACATCAAGTTGACATGTAGTGTGTCATCACAAATATGACATCAAGTTGACATGTACTGTCATCACAACAACAACGACATCAAGTTGACCTGTACTGTGTCATTACAACTATGACATCAAGTTGACCTGTAGTGTGTCATTACAACTATGACATCAAGTTGACATGTACTGTCATCACAACAACAACGACATCAAGTTGACCTGTACTGTGTCATTACAACTATGACATCAAGTTGACCTGTAGTGTGTCATTACAACTATGACATCAAGTTGACATGTACTCTCATCACAACACCGACATCAAGTTGACCTGTACTGTTTCACTACAACTATTACATCGAGTTGACCTGTACTGTGTCATCACAACTATGACATCAAGTTGACCTGTACTGTCATCACGACAACGACATCAAGTTGACCTGTACTGTGTCATCACAACTATGACATCACGTTGATTTGTACTGTGTCATCATAACTATGACATCAAGTTGACCTGTACTGTATTATCAAGTTGTCCTGTACTGTGTCATCACAACAACGACATCAAGTTGACCTGCACTGTATCATTACAACTAGGACATCGAGTTGACCTGTACTGTGTTATCACAACAACGACATCAAGTTGACCTGTACTGTTTCACTACAACTATTACATCGAGTTGACCTGTACTTTGTCATCACAACTATGACATCGAGTTGACCTGTGCATTGTCATCACAACTATGATATCAAGTTGACCTGTAGTGTGTCATCAAAACTATGACATCAAGTTTACTTGTACTGTCCTGTTTGACACCGCGTATTATCACATTTTCTTTAACTCTTTCTTCTCCAGGAAACATTATGTTTATTTCCATCATTATTATTTCGTCTTTGCTTTGATGTTGAAATCTCTCGTCTAACACTAGTATAGTTTTTACTTAAACATTGTAGACATCATTGACGTGGTCGCCTTCACTGTGTTAGTCAGCCTATATTGTACCCCTCCTTCAGATCCAGATCAAAATTCACTGGACACACGGAAATAATAGATTACATTTATGGTTGTGGGTGATGTCTGTCTCCGTGCTTATATTATAATGATATCATTGAGTGTGTTCTTCTACATTTGCGCCGATTCCCCCCGGAGTTCCGTTTTTTAGAACATCCCGGAAACCTGAGTTACAAGAACTGTTATTAGTCGGCTGCTGATGAGATTTAATAACAAAGTTATCGTACATCTGGCAATAATGGCTAGAATATTACAAGTGTTGTTACTCCATCCCGTATAATATTTAAATATTCACACTTAACGTCTCTCACTCTTTCTTAGAAAATCAACGAAAATGTGTCTTCACAAATAAAATATTATAGAGGTAGTTGATTTATTTATGAATCTCGTATTTTAAATATTGAAAAGTTTCGTCACCATATTGCTTCTGAAAACACTTGTAGATGATAACTATTAAACGTTTTCTGTGATTCTGAAAACACTTGTAAATGATAACTATTAAACGTTTTCTGTGGTTCTGAGAACACTTGTAGATGATAACTATTAAACGTTTTCTGTGGTTCTGAGAACACTTGTAAATGATAACTATTAAACGTTTTCTGTACATGTGAATAGCGTCTCTGGAGTTAGTCACCCCCTGGTAGTGTACAGTTCGAAACATTGGTGAAACTTCTCACCCCATAGTATGTACAGTTTCACTTGTAGATGATAACTATTAAACGTTTTCTGTTTTTTAGAACCACAGAAAACGTTTAATAGTTATAATTTACAAGTGTTTTCAGAACCACAGAAAACGTTTAATAGTTATAATCTACAAGTGTTCTCAGAACCACAGAAAACGTTTAATAGTTATCATTTACAAGTGTTCTCAGAATCACGCCTTGTAACTTGGCCACCGTATAGTTACTTTACTTAGACAAACAACACATTTTCTCTTGCAGGAGTAACAAATATTTTTGTTAACAGATGAAGTTATTAAAGTTGTCCACTTTTAGTTTCAAAATAATTAAATATTTAACGTAAAAACGAGCCACTTATTGGTTAGACGAAAACTAACGTAAAAGTAATGAACATTTTCGACATTGTGCTTTTCGACAAACTGTTTTTGATTAATAATTAATTACTATTTTTGAAATCGCTACAATTGTGGTAAAATCTTAAGTGAAATATTTCACACTTTTTATGTTTCTTGATTTCGATTTGAAAAATCGTTTATGTAGTTCTTTCCAGTTGCATCTATTTAACGTTAGTTTTTCACGCTGAAATGTAAATGTATAATGCTATTTTTTCTTGGGTAATTAGTGGATGAGCCCTAAGATAAGTAGCGCAATTAGAAAGAAGACAGTTAAAATGTTTCAATCGAAATGTTTCATCTTATTTAATTTGCGGTTTTAAGTTCTCCACCCTGAAGATGCATGGGATCGAATACAACAGGGACCGCCAGATAGCGGTAGCGAACACTGTGCTGATAAAGCCAACACTTCCCGATTGCCTGTGATTAAGAAAACTTCAATGCAGTTGACGACTCGAGACAGCCCTTCTGGTAACTTAAACTAAAACACCCGTTTATAAATTAAAAATTAATTATATTATTTTCGTATGGCTCGAAGAGTGAAGTTAATTATATATGTGTGTGTGGTAAGCTTGAGAGAAAACTAAAATTATGTGAAAATAAAATAACAGTGGTAACCGAACATTTAGGTACATCGAAAATCATTTGGTTTGATATTTCATTGGTGGTAGTATCCAGGGTCACTGATGAGGAGTGGAATTTTCCGAAACTAGTCTAGATCACAGACACACACCCCAATGAAAAAACAAATCATTCCAAGCTTTTACCTGTTGTTTAACAAATGTTTAAACAACTCTATTCATTTAGGTACATTACATTTAAGTCTAATTTTATAAAAACTACCGTTGATTTAACAGTGGTTACCGAACATTTAGGTACATTAAATTTAAGCCTAATTTGTATAAAAACTACCGTTGATTTAACAGTGGTTACCGAACATTTAGGTACATTAAATTTAAGCCTAATTTCTTTAAAAACTACCGTTGATTTAACAGTGGTTACCTAACATTTAGGTACATTAGATTTAAGCCCAATTTGTATAAAAACTACCGTTGATTTGTAATGCCTAACGGAAATGAATATTATAAACTGAGAATTAAATATAGAGAATATGTGTGTGTGTTTGAAGCTGTGGAGATGTGTCAAAAACTGGTAATTTGTGTAATGAATATTTTTTATGTAAGTGAGAAAAAATATTATTATTTTCTTACATAGATGTCCATGTTAAACCTAAAATTAAGGATCAAGGAAGAAGCGCCAGTGTTCATCTCAGTAAGTCCTGTACATCAGATAGTGAGAAAGGTAGATTGTTATTATTAAGTCTATGTCACGTAGGCCCTTCCTTTAATATTAAATCCATGTCAAGTAGGCCCCTCACGTTTATTGTGAAATCCATATCCGCAGGCTTCTAATTTAAAATTTAGTAAGTTGTATATATGTGTAGGGCCCGCATGGCCAGGTGGTTAGGGCATTCCAATCCTCGTCCCACCCAACATGCTCGCCTTTTCAGCCGTGAGGGCGTGATGGTCACTTCCACTATCCGTTGGTAAAAGAGTAACCCAAGAGTTGGCGGTGGGTGGTGATGACTAGCTGCCTTCCCTCTAGTTTTACACGCTAAATTAGGGACGGCTAGCGCAGATAACCCTCGTGTAGCTTTGCGCAAAATTCAAAACAAACAAACAAAGCATATATGTGTCAATACTGTTGTAACTTCTAAGCTTTTGAACCCCCTAAACTACATGTTTTATTACTTCTTTCATTAGAATGTAATCATGGGTGGGAAGTTTCGCTAACATATTGAACTTTACACTGAGAAGCCAGAGCCTCACAACGTCGACACGTCCACTCATACTCTGACGACCGTGTATTTTGATAATAGCCCTACTGCGTAGTTTCCATTACAAGAGGCTACGTCTTAGACTGTCACGTCCAAAGCACAACATGCCTCTCTGTATGCTTTACATAATCTACCTTTTGTACGAGGACAATGGTATCACAGGGACAGTTTCAACAGTCCGGTTGCACAGAAATCCATAGACGCTGTATCTGTCGAATTGACCGCTATGTGTTCGTATGGAATAGCATGAAAAAGTTTCGTTCTCCAACTGCGTGAAGTATGCCACGGTTAAACGGATATGTCCTGAAAACAACTTGTGCCACTTTTCAAGACGGACATCCTTCTTGATTACTTCGTTACTGCTGCATGTACGTGGACTGCTTTGTCCACTGATCTTTGTGTTCGTGAATTTTTACCTGTTAGAAGACGCTGCACTTATCTTACAATAGCTGGGGTACGACTTATTGCAGGTCTCTTTCTGGATAATCCTAGAAACCCAAGTTAATCCATATTCATTTTATTTTCCAATGTTGTTAAATACAAGGTTTATTTCCGTCTTGGAAATTCTAAATCCAAGATTTTAACGCATACTGATGATCTGAGTATATACATATTTAGCGTCGGAAATGGTTGTTACATACCCTTCTCAAAAGCGATCCATTTTCGACCACATCACCCTACCTACTAACGCCAAACAATGTCAAAATATATTCTGATACATGCCGTTCCTCCGCGATTTTATAATGGCCATGATTGTCAGTTGATTGCTGATTTAGATAACGTACTCAACCGTCTATATATTTATAAAAGGTTTTGCTTATTTGTTTGTTGTTAAACACAAGGCTACACGATGGGCTGTCTTTGGTGAGCCCATTTATGAAAGGCATATTTTTTATTTTGATTACATACAATTTGTAGGTGTGACAGACAGTAAAAGAAGCAATGTTAATGTTTTGTTAAGTTATTACTACTCTTGTAGGGTTTTTTATACACAAACCATTTGTTCTGGTTATATGTATTTTCATCATGTAAAAATCACATAAAAAACAACACGTGTAGTTCCCAATGTCCAAGGAATGAACTTGTTTGTATGAAATAATCAGATATGAATTTCGTACTACTAACGATTAAACAATATAATGAACTTGTTTGTATGAAATAATCAGATATGAATTTCGTACTAATAACGATTAAACAATATAATGAACTTGTTTGTATGAAATAATCAGATATGAATTTCGTACTACTAACGATTAAACAATATAATGAACTTGTTTGTATGAAATAATCAGATATGAATTTCGTACTACTAACGATTAAACAATATAATGAAATTGTTTGTATGAAATATCAGATATGAATTTCGTACTACTAACGATTAAACAATATAATGAACTTGTTTGTATGAAATAATCAGATATGAATTTCGTACTACTAACGATTAAACAATATAATGAAATTGTTTGTTTGTTTTTAAGCTCAAAACTACACAATGGGCTATCTGTACTATGCTTTATAAGCATTCAGACTTACCGCTTAGCCACCATGGGTTATATGAGTAGATTAACATCAAAAATAAAAACTGAAAAATTGATTTATAATGATAATCAAAAACTTGGATCTTGTTTTGCATTTGCTGTAACTATGTCACTGAATAATATAATTTATGACTTTGTTTGTTACTTGTATGAAATTAATCTTTTTTATTTTCGTTTCACTCAGCCGAAAACCTGGCAGGAGCTGAAAAGAGTACAAAAGGAAGAACGAAATTGTCTAGGACATTGAGTCAAAGAAATGACCAAGACGATAGGTCTGTGGTTTTAGGTAAGATGACAGGTTTAGGCTTACTGACCATGTCTGGTGTTGTGGACGTTAAATGTTGCTGTGACTTTAACTATATTTATCAATCTACGAATTTCGTTTTCTTTCTGTCTCCACCTTTGGTAGAAAAACAGAACTAAACTTTAAATTAAATAATTTAGTAGGATTAAATATAACATTCAATAATACTGAAAAACTTGGTATTCGGTGTATTCTCTAGAAAAATGACACCACCAAATCATTGATTCTAACTACAAGATTATTTTAAAGGTTTGTCTGAAGAACGTTTCAAAATATAAACTACTTCATTAAGAATACACTGATAAGTTTAGTAGAAAGGTACGTTATT